ACAAACGAGGGGCTGTGACAAACTGTTTCGTCGGAGTTTCACCGACTCATATATCGTCACAAACAGAACTGCCCGGTAAACCGTAGGCAGAGAGAGAGAAGAGGACAACAAACGAGGGGCTGTGACAAACTGTTTTGTCGGAGTTTATATATATATATATCGTCACAAATAGAACTGCCCGGTAAACCGTAGGCAGAGAGAGAGAAGAGGACAACAAACGAGGGGCTGTGACAAACTGTTTCGTCGGAGTTTCACCGACTCATATATATGCATATATCGAAATGATTGAAGTATTCATTGTGTGCAACACCTTTCAGAGTTAGAAAAAATAAAATAAAAAAATCCCATACTCCATTCGCCACAAGTCAATACTGAGTTAGTAAGCAAGTTTGAGTGGGATAGTGCCGTAGTGAACCGGCGGAGGATTCCCTGTGTCGATCATCATCATGGATGACTATCCCATCCAGGGCCTGTTGGCCCTCTCTGTTATGTTGGGACCCTTGTTCCAATTGATGTTCCCCCTGGGATTCGGACGCATGTGTGCGTCCCGGGCGATACTTCGGTCTGGGACAATAACACTTGGGCCCACACCTGCGGAACAGGCAGAAATTGACCGCAGGTTGGCAAAGAAGAAGAAAGAGAAAAAAGCTAAGAAGAAACAGAAAGAAGAAGAAGCAAAAAAGAAGCTGAAGGAAAAGATGGAAAAGGAATTAGAAGAAGAACTGAAGAGTATCCAACAAGAAGAAGAGGAAGAAGAGCAGGAAGAAGGGGAGACTTTAGAAAGACGTCATCGTCTCGACTTACCTGAGAGTAGTCATACCGCAGCAGACCGGCTGCCAGTTGAACCGCTGGACTGGGCTGGTCGGTACTCCTACACCAGCGAACCATTGCGTGCATCTGAAGAAGAGCGAGATGTGTTCGTCGCAAGGTTGGCCACTGTAACTGATTTAGCTGAACAAAATTTGATGTTGGAAGAGAAGAGGGCCGAACTGCATAACAGGTTGCTAGCAACCAAGAGGCAAGAGTTGGAAGAAAAAAAGAGGTTGCAAGCGGAGGGGGAGAAGTTGCAGAAAGCATTAGAAGCTAAAAAAGATAAACCATTCGCAACAGACGAACAACTTGCCCTCCTCAGAGAGGCCGTCCTCAACACAAGGCAAGAAATGGCCTTAATGCATCAAACGCTACAAAAAGTAGAGAGTCTAGAGACTCATCGGAGTGAGTTCGAAACTGTTTGGAACAACTTTCTGGAGAAATCAGCAAAAGACGTTGATCAACACATCCAGACTTATATTAAGGCGTTAGATGAACACATCACCAAGACCTTCACTCCAGAGGTCATAGAAAAGATTGTCAAGGGAGCTGGAGGCGGAGGAGGAGATGGCGGCGATGACGACGATGATGACAAAAAGGGGAAAGGGGATCCCGATCGGAAAGGAAGACTTCCACAGGAAGTAGGGAAGGTCGGCAAGATTAAACTCAAACTGCCATGGACCTATAACGAAAAAAAAGATGAAAGTGTTCTGCACTGGATGGCAACAATTGAATCATACGTATATGGGCAGCGAATCCCATACTGGGACAGGGTGTTGATGGCGAGTTCATGCATGGGAGGCGATGCCATGAGCTTCGCGATTTCGCTACAGAAGGAGGCGGGTTGCAGCTCAATGGTAGAGTTCTCACAGCAAACTCGGATTGAAGACTTTCTTAAAGCAGTTCGAGAAAGATTTGAGGACAAGAACGTAGGACGTCGCACAAAGATGTTGATCCTCAACCTCCCTTATAGGAAATGGAAGAGCACCTCTGCCCTGAAAGCAACCATGGATGAATTGTTACAGTGCCCTGACCATGGACTTACACCTGCCCAGATTTTGAACAGCTTTGCACGAGCACTTCCTGATCCCCTGCGAACACAACTCTATCCCCATGTCAAAGAAGATGGAATGACTTACGAGAAGTTCAACAAGATTGCGATAGATCATGCTTCCTCGCCGAAGCAAATTACTGCCACTACTGGAAAGATCTGCAAGCGGGAAAGAAGTGGCAAAACTTCACTATCTCAGGGTCTATACCTAGGAAGGATAGTCTCCTTCTAACCTTTGAAGAAGGAGGCGTCGAGACCATCTCCTGGGACCAGGTAGATTATGGACTCGACGAACTCAGCGGACCGATAGCTCAGGAGGGGAGTTATGCGGCCGTTGTAGCCCGCGGGGGAGGGCGTCAAGGAAGAGGGCGTGGCCGAGGAAGAGGTCGCGGCCGTGGTGGACGAGGATCCGGCACCCAGAGGGGTGGTGGCGAAGGAAGCCACTACGTGGGAGGAAAGGGAAATGGTCCCTCGCAAGGTGGCCGTTGTACTTATTCCACCTGGGGTAGAGGAAGAGGCACGTGGTATAATAAGTGGGATAAGCCATACCCACCACATCCAGGTCTACCCAAAGGGGAGCCTTGGAAAAAAATGGGAATCACAGAGAAAGTGTGGCAAGAAATGAAAGCCGCCGACCAGTGCCTGAAATGTGGGGACCCTGACCACATTGTCCCCTATTGCCCCGACTATAGGGGAGCAAAAGGGAACAACCAGTAGAGGTTCCAGTTGCCTCTACCGGGGCTTCGAATGTTGAAAAATCAGAATCCTCCCATTCGAAGGCCCCGCTGGCAGAGACTGAAGAGGAAGGAACTAGTCCCCATCTAGTGCACTGTCCAGAGGTGGCAAGCGTATGCATCTCTCTAGATGGATCCCTCGCTGGCGTGGGTGATGAGTTGGCCGCTCGTCGCCAAGCCTGGACTGAAATGAAAAAGAAGAAAGGACAGTTAATAATTGCAGATCTTGAAATAAACAAAGTAAGAGTAGGAGGTATGGTAGACAGTGGATCTACGCGCAGTTACATTAGTAAGAAAGGCTTACAAAAACTGCGTCTTGGGCTTAAAGTTAAGAAATTGAATAAGCCCATTGTAAGTAAATTAGCTAACAGTAGTGAAATCGTCATGGATCGGTACGTCGAGGGAGTCGAAGCATACTTTCGGCTCGAGGCAGAGGGGAAGGTGGAACGTGTTCTCCACTCTCTGACCTTCTTGGTGGAAGATAACTCGCCCTTTTATGTGTTGTTAGGCATGGATTGGGGTGAGGCTGCGAATGCGGATCTAAAGCTGAGAGATCATGAATGTTGGCTTCCATGTCCGCAAGGAGGCAAAAAGAAAATTCGTCTCTATCATGAATCAGGAAAAAAAAGCAGCCTAGCTCATTGTTGCATGAGTGCCCCAGCGTTCGTTCGCCATGTGAAAAGATATAACTTGCATGATCAAGTTTTTGTTGCATATGTACGCCCAGTAAAGGAGGGGGAAAGTAAGGAGGAGGTTAGGTCCCAAGAAATTGAAAGAATATTGAAAGAGTTCGCAGATGTGGCTGAAGCCCCAAGTGGTGTGGTAGAAAGACCAATTAAGCACCGCATTGACATTGTTCCAGGGAGTTCACCTCCCAAAGGGCCAATCTATCGAATGTCACCCAAAGAGTTGGACGAACTGCGAAACCAGCTCGATGAGCTATTGAAGAATGGATGGATAAGACCTAGTTCCTCGCCCTATGGTGCGCCTGTACTCTTTGTACCTAAGAAGGATGGCGGCGTTCGCATGTGCATAGATTATAGGAGATTGAATGATATAACAGTGAAAAATGATGAACCATTACCACGAATAGATGATTTGTTGGATCGCGTGCAGGGTTGCAAGATATTTTCAAAGATTGATTTGAAATCGGACTACCATCAGATTGAGGTAGAACCGGAAGATCAATATAAGACTGCCTTCAGGACAAGGTATGGGCACTATGAGTTCATAGTCTTGCCCTTTGGTCTAACAAATGCCCCTGCCACTTTCCAAAGAATGAACTTTTTCGTGAATGGCTTGATAAATTTGTTGTTATCTATCTAGACGATATCCTGATTTTTAGCAAGGATGAAAAGGAACATATTGAGCACCTTCGAATTGTGCTAAATAAGTTGCGAGAAGCAAAACTCAAGTTAAACCCAAAGAAGTGTGAATGGGCCAAGCGTCAGGTTTTGTACTTGGGACATGTGATTGATGGAGATGGGGTTAAACCGAAAGATGCAAAAATAGCAGCAATCAGAGATTGGCCGAACCCCCGCACTTTGACTGAGTTGCGGTCTTTTCTTGGGTTAGCCAACTACTATCGGAAGTTCGTAAGACACTTCACGATAATAGCTGCTCCCCTTCGTAGGTTACTCAAGAAAGAGACAATTTGGAAGTGGGATTCAGATTGCATGATGTCGTCCAAGCGTCTGAAAAAGTGTTTAATCAACTACCCGGTTTTAAAGGTAGCAGACCCTTCATTACCTTTCGTTGTCACAACCGACACTAGTCAATATGGTATAGGTGTTGTACTCCAGCAAGATGATGGACATGGATACAGACCTGTGGAGTTTATGTCTTGTCGATTATCTAATGAGAAAGTGACCGCTTCGACGTATGAGAGGGAGTTGTATGCTCTTCGTGAGGCTCTCAACCATTGGCGACATTATCTTTGGGAAGGCATTTTAAGGTATACTCCGACCATGAAACACTTCGCTGGCTCAAAACGCAAGCTCGAATGACACCTAAATTGACAAGGTGGGCTGCAGAAATTGACCTATTTGATTTTGAGCTAAAGCCAGTAAAAGGTAAGTACAACGTCGTTGCTGATGCACTAAGTCGTAGATCTAACTTTTTCGGTGCCATTGTGACATATTTAGATATTGGTGCCGATTTACAAGAGAAGATTATGAATGCGTATCCCTCTGATCCTGTCTATGGCGTGATGATTAAACGTGTACAAGAAGCGCCAACTAAGTTTCCTCAGGGTCTATTGTTTGAGAGCACTGATGTGAATGATAGGCTATGCATACCGAATGTGGAAGAGATCAAGAGTATGATCTTAGGGGAATGTCACGATACCGAAGGCCATTTTGGGTGGAAGAAGACTTATGGGACCCTTTTGCGTTCCTATATCTGGCCTCGTATGAAGCCTGATTGCATTGCTTATGTGCAAGGTTGCCAGGTGTGCCAACGAAACAAGAGCACTACGCAATCTCCCCTTGGTTTGCTCAAGCCTTTGCCTATCCTGACAGGACCCGGAGACTCTGTATCTATAGACTTTATGGACACTAAAGTAAAAAGCAGGAATGGGAAAACGCAAGTGATGGTAATTGTTGATAGATTTACTAAGTATGTTGTCTTTGTAGCTTTACCTTCGGAAGCAAAGACCGATTTAGTAATTAGGGAGTTCTTCAACCACTGGGTGAAAGACTTTGGACATCCCTTGACTATTGTAAGTGACAGAGATAGAAGGTTCACGAGTGAACAATGGCAGCAACTAATGAATGTCTATGGTTCTAAGCTGACTATGTCATCAGGTAGACATCCTGAGACTAACGGCCAGACTGAGCACATGAACAAGATCTTGCAACAGACATTGCGCATGTATATTCGTCCCGACCAGATCGATTGGGATGAACATTTGCCTAAGGTTGCTAGTGCCTACAATAACTCTGTACACTTGTCTACATGTAAGACTCCTATGGAGTTACATTTGGGATGGAAACCACGTAGACCGATTGACCGCCTGAACCCAGATCAAGTGCATAAGCTTCCACCAGGGACAAGTGAATTCGCAATCCAATATCAGAAAGATATTGAAAAGGTAAAAGAGAATATAATCAAAGCACAACATCAAATGATTGAACAAGCGAATAAGCACAGACGACCATCTCAATTTGTTGTAGGAGACTTGGTTTGGGTGAAGTTTAAGGAGTTCGCTCCTGAAGAGAATATTTCTCCGAACCGAATGAGCTATTTCCAAGTTGCAGATCAGCGATACCTCCAAGTATGGATGGAAAGTATGACGTGGACAAGATTTTTGCATAAAGTACCTTTCACACTGGTCGTAGAGGCAGACCACAGCGTCAATATAAGGTGAGATTTGCATACCAGGATCCTAGTGAAGATCGCTGGTTCACAAGAGAAGAGTTGTTAGACTCTGCACCTCATATTGTGTCTGCATATGAGAGAGCAAAGAAAGGAATCAGTATTATTGATAGATGATTGATTTCTCAGAGGACCTCGCAACTAGGCCGGCGAGAGTAAAAGGGCCTTTACCCGATTCAGGCCTTGTGAAAGTAAAGCTGCTTTAAGGGGTATCTCGCCGGGACCCAGGAAACGTGAAAACAAATCAAAGGTCAAGTTCTCTGGTCAAAGGGCACATCTAAACTAAAGCAAGAAGTCAGTGCCAAAGGTCATTGCCGAAGGTCATACCTGTTCGCCAGGGGATGCACATGTCATGTCTGTTCAGATAGGGATGTGTCTGTACGTGCAGTCAGTGTGTCTGTTCGTGCAAAGGGAGTGTGTCTATTCACGCAATATAGATGTCTGTTCAGGCAGTAATTGTGTTTGTTCGTCCCAAGTTGTGTCTGTTCAAAAGTAAGTCAATAAACAGAGTCCCAGTTCTGGTCTAAGTTTGAGAAACAGTCCAGATCCAAACGTCCAAGTCCAAATCCAGGCCGAAGGGCCTCAGCAGCAGCAGACCTCATTGGGATAGTACTGGGACACATGCAATGCAGGGTCTGGGACACAGGAAGGCCTGAATGAGCCAATGCAGACCCAACGTGAAGAGGCCAGCGCTATAAAGGAAGCAGCCAGCCTCATTCAACGCCAGATCTCTATTGGCATTCTGTGCGTGGAAGTGCTGAAGCACTTGTGCGCCAGCCAGGAGGAGCAACGCTGGAGGGTGAAGATGCGCTAGGAGAGGGAAGAAGACTGGGTGCGGGGAAAAGAAGCAGCCATAGCTGCCCAGCGAGTTAGTATTAGACTTAGAGGGTTAGTAGTAGTCTTCTACGAGTAGCATTCAGAGTGGATCCTTGAGAGAAGAGAGTGTGCATGCGTAGTAGGAAGAAAGAACTAAGACAGAGAGTGTGCAAGAAAGGTTCGGCTATGGTGATTACTTACCTGGGTTGGATATGATCTGCAGAGGTGGCGCTGATGTGTAGAAGTCACATTGATGAGTTGGATGAGAGTTTCATATTGTGCTGATAAGCGCTTGAACTTGGGGAACTATGACACTCTTTGTAATCATATTTTTGATAATATAAGCTGCGCAACTTGGTTCTCTTCTTACCTCTTTGACAAGTGTGTGAGGATTTCTGTTCGTTGTGTATGGAGATGATGCATGCAGTGAACACTCTTGCATGAGTTGGTCTCCAGGACCCATGCATGGAGCACAAGGGCAGGGGCTAACCTCAAAAAAAAAAAAAGAAAAAAAAAAAGGTGATGTTGTATTAGGATACAGGAGTTTAGTCTTTCCGAAATTCGAATATTGGTATTTGAATACAATGCATACGAGTTTTATTCGAAGTGCACTTATATTCGAGAAAAGTCCCAGGCCCTTGGGGGCCGTGAGCCGTTTTTTTGTTTTTTTCCAGGACCGTGGCCAATACCAGACCTGCGCCTGTAAGTGCCCCCC